CAGATGGTCGCCCCTACGTACCTGCGCACTCGTTCTTGGGAGGGTCATTGTACAATATGCCCAACAAATCTCAGACCGCGGGGCGTACCAAGGCCTGAGCCCCTTACTGATTTCAAGAGCTTCTGTGCGGGTGCAAAAAGTCAGTATACCTCACTGGCAAAAGAATTTCCGAACCAGGGAATCGAACCCTGAGCCTGACGGTGAGAGCGTCAAATGTTAGCCATTACACCAGTTCGGATACCGGTTGTTGAAAGATCGGCATGCTCCGCATTCCTTATCTTTGCTAACGTGTTTCGGGCTGAGCTCCGACAGTGAAGGTTCACTTACATTTTCCCCAGCTTCTGTCAAATAAGGCTCCTTGCAGACCTGTTAGCTGTGGAATAACACACGGAAACAGCAGTAGAACCTAGAGCCTAATGGTAGAAGATTTATACCATTGGATTTCTATAGCCTCGACGAGATTGATTAAAATTTGATGTGTTTTCCCCATGTTCATCAACGAAGAGACACTCTCAGGCAACGCTCACCAACCTTGGACTGGGTCGGGTTGTCATCCAAACGAGCCATTCTGAAAGGCCACTCCAGATCACCGAGACACGTCATCTCTGTCCCAAGTGTGTTTCGCCATGCCACCGGTGATCGTGCTACAGACTCGACGTTACCCCCTTGTCACATCGGCAACCCGAGAAGCAGGTGGTACTTCTTCCCTAGTATACCAAGTGCAGTCTCGCTGGTTGGTATGTGTGGATTTTTGCCGTGTTTGTTGTGAAATGCTGTACCTCGATATCAGCAATTGAGCGTTGTGTCGGACAGTTATTCGTCCCAGTGTCACACTCACACCGAATGCGTCGGTGCTGTCAAGTCAGGTTGGAGTACTTGTTGCTCCTTCCCTCGCCTGTGCCAAGTCAACGATTTCCACATGCACTTTTTGTTGCTTCCAAATTGACCGTTTCTATAGCCCTCAACCCGAGACAGCCAAACCGCCTGACGACGTCGCGACTCGAATGATTGGCCGCCACAATCGTTCTTTGGGTCTGGGATGCCACTTTTCCCCCCAGCTTTACAACATTCAATGATGTGTGACATGGCTCCGATTTTGCAGATGGAGAACGACCAGATCCTGCAAAAGATCAGCCAACCGTTAGTTCCACAAGCTAGGCAACGTTGCACCACCAGTCTCGGGACAGGTGCCTCGATATGGCTGCCGCATTGCAGCCTGCGCTGGTCGTGTCACCGACCATCGCGCAATTTACCAAAGAAATGGAAGTGTTCCGGGCACAAATCATAGACAGACGAACAAGTCTCCTGGGAAGTACCGATCAGACTGGCTGACAGGCTGTTGGCTGTGAACCGTTGCTCTGGGAGCACGTATGCCTGAAGCCGAATGCTTCCAGCAAATCGTGTGGCTCGGCTATCTTTGGTGTAACACCAGTGAGCTTGTCTACTCAAAGATTCTCTGCAGTCTCGATCGGTCAAATACTTGGTCTGGCGCCCAAACTTGAATCACCTCTCACGGGGGAAGCAGGGCGCATCGCAAAACTCGAGAACCTCGGTCAAGCCACAAAGGAGATCGATTCGTTGCTGTACTCGAATGGTATATCAGACAATTCAGCGGCAGAATCGTAGTTTTGTCCCATCTACCGACAAAGTCGACACTGATGACACATACTTGGTCCACTGGCTGGGCACATCTTCTCGCAGCTTGAGGTCGGGCTTTGCAAACACCAGAAGGGGCCATCTTCGTCCGATACTTTCCAGTCAGTCAAATTCAGCTGCGGCGAGAAGGAACAAAGGGAACCCCAGGTGCGTTGGCCTTGCCTTACTTTGGGTAAGTATCTGACAGGTACTTCGCTTATCAGGATTGCGGCTTCTAGCTCACATCCAAGCAAACGATTGGTATTCAAGTGATCCAGCGCCCTGCTTTCTTGCCTTTTGGCATTCTTCAACCAGGTCCTCTCGCCGAGCAGAAGTTGTTTCCCGTTCTTGATGTAACTCCTTCCTTCATACTCTCTCCCATTCAAACCTCTGCACCTTCCATTTTGCACGCCCCTCGATCTTCGGTCAACCCGGCAGTCACCAGCAAAACAACTCTGGTCGACGTAAAAAATCGCAACACTCACCCTTTCCATCTACACAAGCAGGAGAAAGCGCAGTTCACCACTCTCAGCATCAGGGATGAGCCGTAGACGCTGTCCCATCACCTCAACATACACAATCTAGGCTTGCCGACTACGGTCTACTGGTGAATAACCCGGTCCTCAAACTTTGTTTGCGGGCGCAGTTGACCGCCTGTCTTCACCAGACCACACCGAACATTTCTGCATCATGTCCTTCTTCGCCGGAGATTCGCGCCCCTCTGAGGCTCCTCCACCTCCCCATGGCGGTCTCAAGACGACTGAGATTGGCGTCATTGTCGGGGCCGTCACTGCTGTCGTTCTTTTTATCGCCATCATCTTTGTGCGGCGTATGCATTCCATCAAGAAAGAGCAGCGCCGAGCTCAAGAAGTGAATGATGTCGAGTCTGCCCATCACGCTGGCGAAGCGGCTGAACACAAGGGCGATGCCGATGATCCCTTCAGAAACGATGCTTCCTCGGGTGATAATCTACCTCAGCGTCCCAAGCCCATCAGGATGAAGCTTGCCTCCTACCTGCCACGCACAATCATCAAGCGCCTGTTCAAAAGTACGTCGGTAGCTGGATCCTATTATATCTGGTCATGGTCTGACGTTGATCACAGTCCATCTCGAGACCGATACAGAAATGACTTCACGGCACCACTGAGAGACCCTCTAGGAGGGATACCTCACGCTAAGTAGTTGTGCATCGTCAGGCCTGCGCGACTGGGCTCACTCGATCTTCCAAGAAGCACAAAAGGTGCGCCGAAAGATACGCCAAAGAAATAATTTTTGAACGGGTTAAGGAAATCAGCACAGCTTTTTACGCTATGGCGCCACTATGGTTTGGGAAGTATGGCAGGGGATGCGGGTGTTCACTTTTAGTTGGGATTGATTGCCAATCACTTTGGTCTTGTTTGCGGCCGATGGCCGAGTTTCTGAGGAACATGAGTCGTGGTGCAGCGCTTTCGATTTGTACTTGGTGATTTATTACCGGCTTACAGAACTGCACCTCAGTAGTTCTTGCAGGGTCTTTCTTCGACGAGTGCAGAGTAATAAACCTATAAGAAGCTCTGCTCTCACATGACTGTGCATCACATGATGAGGAGAACTCCTGTTTGCGCCGTCCTTGAGAATAAACGTCTCGCTGCACGACACACCAACACAACCAGAAGACGTCATGAACCAGACTGGGCGTGTATCGATTAGGATGAGGTACATATTGTCCATCTATATGAAGGGTAAGCACACCAGTCACGACAACCCTGCCTCAAGCCAACCCCCTTTCCATCAGCCTCAGGTTCTCACAGTGTCCCGTGTACGCATTCTCTCATACTCCGGCATTGCAAACCTAGTCATCCACTCCGAGCGAAGAACTTGCGCAATGCTACAACGCTGCTCCGGCTTGTACGCCAGCATAGACCGCAGCATGGCAAACAGGGCTCCCTTCTCGGCCGAACCCATAGTTTCCATCTTGTATCTTCTGCGCCCTTCCTGCAGCGCATCCTCAAACTGATGATCGAGTGTATAGACAGGACCATTATCGACTCGGAGGGGCTCGCCATCTTCGGTAAAGTCCTCGGAGCGCGCATCCCATGTCCCCCACCACTCCTCGGGCAGCTTTCCGAGCGCTTGAACCTGCATCCACGTCACGGTATCTTCGGTCCCCCAGAAACCCTCGAACAGCGAACGCTGCGCAAGAATGGCCCAAACGGTACACGCGAGGGTCCAGATGTCGCTAGGGAACGACTTTGGCTTCCCTGGTTCGAATCTGTGCTCTGGTGGGCGAGAGTGGACCGGCGTGCAGCACTCGAACCTCGACTCTTGCGACGGACGGTACAGCTCGCCGAAATCAGCGAGAACAATGTGGGCGTCCGCCAGCGGCAACTTATTAATTCTCTCCATCGGGAACCAGATGGGCAAAGTGGCGACGGAGGGGACCCCCGGCGGGATGGGCTTATCGTCGAATGTCTGTACCGGCTCGAGTTCGGGCTCTCCACAGCGCGACAAGAGCTCCTCATCAGACCAGACCTGGAATTCCTGCGGCAGTCTGAACAGGACGTTGCCGAGGTGAAGGTCTGGATTACGGTTCAGTCAGTCGAGCAGAGCAGCGGCAGTGCGAATGGATGCTAGCACTCACCACCGTGGACAAAGCCCTTCCCGTGCAGGTATGCAACAGCGAGGATCAGTTGAGCAGCGATCGCACGTGCAACGGGCAGCAGTAGAGGCGCGTAGGACCCCCTGCGCTTTGCTTCGATTACGCTGCATCGTGCAACGTCAGCGACTAGGCATGCATGGCTGCCGTTAGGACCGTCGACGCAAAAAGCGTCAAGAAGCGTGGGTATCATGCCTCGCCCCAAGGCCTCCCCGTCGTTGTCGCTGTCAGCCTTGCTCAGATTCTTCAAGAGTAGCATGGTTTCTGATTCACGCGGGCTCGCTTCCGCCGTGCAGACCTTTACAGCTACTAGTCGCTGGAGAGTATCGTCTCGAGCGAGCCAGACAGTGGAATAGCTGCCGTGGCCCAGCTTGTTCAGCACATGGTATCGACCCCCTAAATTATCACCGATGGCCACGGGGTGGTAGCCGCCGGGACCATATCTGTAAAAAGGTTCAGCACCGTCAATGTCATGGAAGAGAATGTTTGAGTCCGAGCCAGACACCCCGCTCTCATCGAGGCACTTTTTCGCTGGTCTGCTCGTTGTGTGACATGACGAGGACCAGAATGAGGAGCGGAAGCCCCGATCTCGAGCTGCTGGGGAACGAAATCGAGGCGAGGGGAAAGTTTGACAGCTCCGCACTGCCAAAACTGCCGGTCTCATCTTCACTGGCAGCTTGTTGCCCGCAACACCCAATTTCTTTTTTACGAGCTTGGATCGGTCAGAGATTGGCGGAAGAGAGACGCGATCACGTTCTAGATGTGAAGAGGGCAGGCTGCGAGTCAATCGGGCATAGTGAAACGGGTATCCAGGATTACATACGTGAGTACGCGTCCTACTATTGGTCACGTACCCGTGCGTCACTCGCCGTATACAACCGTGTTGGTCCGATGAGGCTATACAGACCTTGCCTTGCGCAGCGCTTCACCTTTTCTGGCTTCATTGGAATAATATAAGATAGATTCTTATGTATCTCGCCTCGTGCCTATCGAATGGAAAACCATGGAGGAGCGCCCTCCGCCAGTGGGCTGGCCTCAGAGCCTGGGGCCTGCCTAGCTAGGCTGTAACTTCATCGACGCACTGCGGCTCGTTATGGTATGATGTAGATTTCGAGGACGGCACCAAATACTTGATGTTTTTCTCTGGATGGCTGGGGCCACATGTACTTCGCCGCCACCCTGTCGCGCGCTCAAGCATCGGTATCGACAGGCTCAATAATTTGAGTTGGCGAAGTGTTCTACCTGGCAGAAAACCTGAAATGGGCCTGGCCAGAATATGTAACGGCTTGACAGGACCGAGTGTCGGAGCAGACCATCAGTCGCTAGTCGTGATCTTGCGAACAAGCCTGCTGAAACGACATCTTCGCGTAGGATGCCGACAAAGTCGCCTGGCAAGGCACTATCTCCTGCACCAGACTGTGATAGGCCGAATTCCAGATCCAAATGCGATGCCAGCTGCGCCAGACCAGAGGGTAGCAACTGGAGTGGAAGGCGGGCAAACCAGTGGATAGATTGCGGTTGTAAGTGGCATGCAGAGAAGGTTCGCCACGGCAGGGTAAGCACGCAGACAATGTTAGGCAAAGTGGTGTTTTTCGTCTAACAATCTGTCCCGACCTGCGCAAAACCTGTTCCTGTCCCTCCTCATAATCCATACCCAGAACGCCGGTTAATATGAATATCGCCCAAAAAGCCAGTTCTCGGGCCAAAAAAAGGTCTACGAGTTCACACACACACACATACACTCGCCATACATTCGTACCTGAGCGAAAAGCAAGAAACCCCAATGGCAAAGAGCGCATAGGCCAGGCTCAGCGCTGACCGGACCCCTTGGCCGCTGTAGCGGCTCTTGAACGCCTGGCTGATGCTGAACCTGCTGCCGATAGCCCCGTCCTGCATCTTGCTGGCGAGAGCCTCCTCCAGAGCTGACTGCGTGACCGAGGCATCTGCAGACCTTTGTCAGTTTGTGTAAATTATATGGGCAGAAGGGAGAGGATGTAATAAGGAAAAGGAGGGAATAATAAGGTGAGTTGGAGAGTGCGGCCTCCACGAACGGGCAGAAATGCAAGCCACGTAAGGAAGAAAGAGAGAGGCCAGAAAAGAAGAGGGAAGACCCCGCACTCACCGTCCAGATCGCTAAAGCTGCTACCCATGCTCGGCGTGCCGTCGCTACCCTCCCGCCGCGAGGACTCTTCCCGCTCAGCTCCGCCGTCCTCCGAGGCGAAAGCGGCCCGAGTGGCCCGCCGCCCTGCTGCGTCCGAGACCTGTCACCTCGGCTTTGCACAGGCAGGCGATCGCGGCCAATCGCTGCGGAGCTGGTGGCGATGGAGTCTGAAGTTTCAGAGGCGGTGCGTCGCCGTGGATATTGTTGTTTTGCCTTTGGCTTCTGCGACGCGGCGCCTTGGTCGCCCGCGTAGCGTCGAGCCGAGGTCCTGGCTGCTGGACTGTTGATGCTGCTGCTGCTGTCCGAACGCGGGCTCTGCGGTCCGTGTTCCGTGTCGTCGTCATCGTCAGCGGGCGGCGGCGCCCAAAGTCGCCAGCGCCGTCACGGTGGGAGGAGGGTTTATAGTGTGGCGGACGGCGGATGATACGGGACTGAGCTGGCAGCGAGTCGGAGTCGGAGTCGGAATCTGACGCATCGTCGTCGTCGTCTTCGTCATCATCTGCCGAACTGCTGGACTGCTCAGCGCCACGGCGAGCAACAGGGGCAGCAGCAGCCGTGGTGGTGGACTCGATGGGCAGGGAGGACAGGCGGCGGCGCTGGGCTTGCGCGGATGCGAGACGTGGAGATTGCACGGCGGTGCTGTTGGAGGCGTTGCGCGATATGTTGGGGCGCAGGAGAGAGGTCGTGATGGGCGTGCTGGGTCCGCCGCTGTGAGGGAGGGGTGAATCGCGACGAATGGAGAGCGCCGAGGCTGTACGCGCGTGGCCGCTGGCACTGGGATCAGTCTTGACGGCAGCGGCGGCCGTAGCTTTTCGTACTTGGGCTCGCAGCTGGGCGGCGTGTCGATCGGTGAGGTAGGCGACCTGCTGGAGTAGGAAAGCAACGTTGACATCGAATCGTGCCGCTCTGCGTGTCGACGGGTTAGTGTAGGTCGGACATCTGCTAATCGGGATAAAGGAACCTACAGCTCATTCCCTGGACAGGTGCCGTCAGCGAGTGCACTCAATACAGGCGTGATAGATGTCAACACTTACAGTCAATCTCCGTCTGGGCCGCGCCTGAGATGATGCTCCAAAGCTCGTCATCCTTTACGGCGTCCCAGTGGATCTATCATCCATGCATGAGTATCCAGAAGCCAGTGAAACAGCTCGAGCCTTGCTGCTCGGGATACTCACAGGTGGGGGGTCGGCGAACTTGCCCCGGGAAACGGGCAGCCGTATATACACCGTAAATGTTGGCTCCGCCATCATGAATGCTGATCTGTTGTCATTCTGCACCGTTCGGGCCAGCGGGTTTCGAAGAGGGCAGCTCTGCTCTTTGGGTAATGGAGGACGGCAAGTCGTTCGAGTGCTCGCTGCGGCGGATGACGGCAGAGGGAGCTCACCTTATCGGAGCTGCGGAAGCCGATAAGACACGAGGCAGTGCAGCAGGGTGCGCTAGGGTCCATGCCGCCGTTTCGGTGACAGCACACCGAGCTAGAGACCGTACGGCTGGCTTTCTTCGCCAATATTCCTTCCGTGCCACGACAACAGTCCACCCCCCTTGAGACAAATCCAAGACAGCCAACCGACAAAAGCATGGTGCTTTCCAGCACCTGACCAAGGTTCCCGACTATGAAAACGGCAACACCAAGACACCTCGTGGGCTTTCGATTCCTCAGCTGAGAAGCAGGCTTGTGCCACGCTAAGCCCCTGATCAATCCACACCACGGAAGCCAGACGTATCGGAGGTACAAAGGTCCAGGCCTAGAACTTTCAAGCACATGTCAGGTTACACAGTTGGGTTTTATGCTGAGTTGATCTATATACGTGTACATGAGCTGTGTTCCAAGCTGCTGCACCAGGACAAGGTAGGCTACAGTAGACAAGTTGCGATCGGACCAAATCGATGGTCACCTGTTGCTGGCGGTATCACCCCATGCCCCATTTCAATAAGTGTAAACAGCGAGGATCTAAGACGAGTGACCCCAAGACACTATCCCATCATCCAGACCCGAACGATGCGCGACTACCTGAAAAAAAGAAAACGAACGCCTGATATGCAACCTAACCTGGCCGGCCCATGTAATGCTCCTCCCGTTCGGAGAACACGTCTGGACGAAATGAGTGTTTGGGTACCGAAAAGCTCGATGCAAGATGTAGTGTGGTATTGTGCCCGCTGTGAAGGATTACTGTATTGTTTTTCTCTTCTTCGCTCGTCCATTTCTTAGTTTATCGTGCTTGAGAGCATACTCTTCCTGCTCAACCGATTTGAATCCCGCTGGCCGGCTTCTGACACTGGTGTTGCCCAACCGCTGCCGCCGCTTCCACTTCCTCCACTCATCTCCCGCTGAATGACGTTGGCATTCTTGTCGTCGATCGCTCCGTCGTTCAGCGCTCGCCGGCTGTTCGTCAGGCCCTTCTGCATGGGCACGGGTGTTGGAACCTCGCTGTTCCTCGACGAGTCCAGATCGCTCCCTGACCGCTGGTCAATCGGCCCGCCCTTCTCGTCTACGTCGTCCCGGTTCCGTCGATGCACGAGTGTCATGAGGCCGGCGCCTCGGGCCAGGGCACTCCGGAAGTCGAAGATCGCTCCTTGATCGTCTTGTCCGGAGTCTCGTCCCGGAGAGCCAGAGGAGCCAGCAGTAATGCACCACCAGATGATGGTTACGATC